GCTTTACAGGGAATGGTCTGGCAGAAGAGAATGGCCAGACTACTGTGAGCTGATAGGAAGGAAACAGTAAAAAATTAACCACTCGTTACAAAAAAGTTATGCAGAAGAGCATTACTGAAAGCACAACACATCTGACCTTGAAGCAGATGGGCTACAGCGACAGAAGACCACACCTAGCAGCTAACTGCAAGAAACTAAGGCTACATTTTGCACAAACTGGCCAAAATTAGACAACAGAAGACTGAAAAACAAGGCACTCCAATGGCCTCCACAGCCACCAGATCTCAGCCCAGTAGAGCATTCTTGGGTTGTGCTTGAAAGGGACAATTTGGATGAGCAGCAGTGACACAAAACTGAATGTGTGTATTTCAAACCTTGAAATACAAACCTTGGACAGTGTGTTACTGTATTTGCTCTTTCATACATATTTAAATATGTATGAAAGTTTGAAGTAATTTGACTGAAAACTCTAATACAGTGCTGGAAAATATTCCAGAAAGTGCGCGAAATAGAGCTGTGACTGACAAAAAACTACTTTACAAACACCATTTTTGTCACAGTACTGGGTCGTGTGACCCAGTGTTTGAGTTTTATGTATTTTTTTGTATTCATTTTCAATCTAGTTAAATTCTAGGTTGCTGTTCAGACCTTATTTCTGTCATCTCCGCCTGTACTCAGTGTCCCTGGTTCCTGCGTCTACGTTTCATGTGTATGCGGTTAAGTTCATGTCATGTTTCATGTCTATGTGGTTATGTTAAGTTCATGTCTGCATCAGCCCAAATAAAGGCTCGCTTTCAGTTTAAGTTCACTCCCATCTCCTCGCCTGTGTTCGCGCCTGGGTCCACCACACACACTCTCCACACGGTCTGCCCCCGCTGGCCGTGACAATGTTGCCCTCAACAAGACTTAAAACTAATGATTACAATGATAAACTCGACAAAAATGCTTAACTACAGCCACAGTGTTCTAAAGACACACATAACTTATTTGCACAGGATAAAAAAAAGAACGACCATAATTAAATTGTTCTAGCATAAAAGATGTGATAAATAATGTACAGCAGCTTTTCCCTAAGGCAGTTGTGTCTACAGAAAAAAACTATTTCTTGCCAAGTGAAACAACTGCAAAATACAAGACAGGTACAGGATTCCTGATTCGAGTTGTGTAAAATATTGTGGTTGTGATAACACTTATGAGTTCTGAAGATTTGTGACTTGTACAACGAGAGAGATTTCACTTAAACGTGTAATTTTGAGAAACATAATCATAGAAAACACTACTCACACTGCTGTTGACAATGTGAATGCCTATTTTAGAGGTCATAGCTAAAGTAACTATTTGACCTTTCTACCTAAACTGTTCTGTTTGTCATTCCCCTGACAAAGCCTCCAGGGGACTGCTTGATAGAAAAAGAACACGGTGTAAGAATCTGTATTTGCAGTTTTGCAGACTGTGCGTACACTTAAATAATTGATGACCTGAAAGTAACTTTTCCTCCAGGATATAGACATTGTTACACAAGCCCCATCAGGCCAGCAGAAGCATCAAGAATGCCAGACAGAAATGCTTTTGCAATACAATTTAGGAGGGGAGAACTCATCTTCCTCAAAAACACTGAAAGGTTTTTAAAGAGAAACCACTGAACAAACAGGATCAAACAGATTGTTTATACCACTCAAATGGATAATAAATTGTGCCAAGCAGGCAGAGTCTTCATGGAGTTTTGGCAAACTGAAAACTGGCTTTAAAAGTTGTACGTGACACGTATGAGGAAAACTGCCAAATGCTTTAATGAAAGATATGAAAACAAGCGAACACTTAAAAATAACCATTGGCCACATGATGTCTGCTTTTGGACTAATTGCTTAGTTTCACAGATTTTATCCTATACTTTGACTCCAAGTGCTAGTCCACAGTGCATTATTGCCCATTTGTTCTACTTATCTCAGTAATAAATAGAAACGCAAACTAGATTATGTCAGCCTGATAGCATAGAAAATCAAACTTGCCAACATGTGGATAGCATTGCGAAAGGGTTATTTTAACCCAAGCAATTAGCTTTTCTAATATTGTGGTGCTTTATAAAACAGCATGTGAAAATTTGAGTCTCATTGAAGCTTAACAGACTCAACTCCTGTCTAACCACTGCCACCGCCTCATGTTAACATTTATTCATGCATTTATTCCACCTCTTTTAGGCGGAAACATCCCCCACCTTTTTTGTGCACATTAACTATAAAATTTGGTGATAATGAACCTGCTACTTTGTGGGTGCTGTTTTCATCCACAATTTGTGAATCAACAGTGGATTTTAAATCAAACAACTGATATGTGATTGAAGTGTTAGACTTTCAACTTTAATTCAATGGGTTTCACAGAGATTTTGTGGTAACTGTTTAGGAATAGCTACCATTTCCCCCATTTTCAAAAGCTCAAAGTAATTTTTGTAAAATCCCTTGAATTAAGGCTGAAAGGCTACACTTGAATCACATGCTGATTTAAAGTCCACTGCAGTGGTGCATAAAAATTGTCATTGCCCAACAGGTTGTGGATGTAACTGTACGGGAGTGACATTGACTCATAATGGCCCTTTACTGGACTGATAACATTTGAAACTAGAGTCCTGGTCCATTCGAACTAGCAGAGCCATGATCCTGTCTGAAGGTTCATATCAACAAATGCTCCATCATATCCTCCCTCCATATCAGACAAACCAAAAAACAAAAACATCTGCCAGTCAAGGCAGATGGCTGCTCCTCCGTAAGCCTGGTTCTGCCAGAGGTTTCTTCCTGTTAAAGGGAGTTTTTCCTTTCCACTGTCACCAAGTGCTTGTTCATACAAGGTTGTGTGATTGTTGGGGTTTCCTTTTTTTTATTATCAGGTCTTAAGGTGACTGTTTTTGTTATTTGTTGTTTCAATAAAACTGAACTGACTTCTACTTTCTAAAGTCTTGTATTCACACATAAAATGCACAGTGTAAGAAGATCTTGACTTATCTTCAGATAAATCCCAGGACCAATTCTTAAGGTTACCACACAACTCAGTTACTTTAAGAAATATAACATGTGGGAACATTGTGCTTCATTCCTTTATGTAGTGTCCACCATGAGCCTGTGAAACCGTAACTAATGAGCTATAGTCAGGCTTTGGCAACTTGGGAAAGGTCAAGGGGACAAATAAGATTCAGAGCAGTGATTCTGTTCAACAAGCTGAAGATGAAGCCGGATGAGATTTCCATGTGAGCATTTTTTTTCTCTGAAATGCAGAATAATGAAATTACTTTTTTTTTTTTTTTTTTTAAAGGAAAAAAAGGACCGTGCCAGGATTCGCCGTTCACTGTGAAATATTACATCGCTAAGTCATTTGTTCAGATGATTCTTCGGGTTAACCACAGGGAGCACAATTTTCCATTTTTCATCTCTGCCTCACGCTGCCTTCTATTGTTCTTTTTGGTTATCTCCTGCTTTCATCAGCAGTATGGTGCTTCCAAGCAAAAGCCTTTAATATGTTCAGCAGCAATTTTCCTGTTAATATTTTCCATTATTTAAATCAACTGTGATATTCTGTTCAATAATAACCTTAAAGCTTGCTGCATATAAACATCATGTGGGATTTGTGAAGAAGTCAATATTAGATACCAAGAATATCATGGTAATGATTAGCAGGGTATGTTAAACCCTGATATAGCCTGTTAAAAATGTAAAAATAGGATATAGAGTGGGTATTGTACTATATTTGTTTTACATTCTAATATAACTAAAGTATGTCAGTCAAAAATGAACTAAACTGGTCCACACAGCTGAGGAAAATATGCTGCCTTACACACAATATACATGACAATAATTAAACCTTATACGGTGCACATGTCAGGTACACACACACACACACACACACACACAGGTGAGCAAATTCAAATTCCTTCCAACTACAGTCTCTTGAGAGAACAGCAGTCAAACATACAATGAACCTATTTGCACACAGCTGACCAGAATCTATCAAAATATGGACACTTTACGCGGCCCAAAAGCCTAACATCGACAGACAGTCAGGAATCCTTTTGCAACAAAGGCAGGACTGTAAAATTACTGCTTAATTATAATGTTAAATTGCTCTGCGGCAGCTCATACTAAGCCGAAGCACTCATCTGAGTGCACAGTTATGATACTCCAAATGTGGCTTGGCGTGTCCAGAGTTTAGGTAAAAAGTGTCCTCACAAGGGGCACTGATGTTAAAAGTCTGTGAGCGTATACATCAGGGCGAGGTGTGTGTGTGTCTGCTTTGTGTCATGGTTATGAATAACCATGTTTTTTAATCCAAGAATGATCTGCAAATGAGGCCAACACTGGGACATTTCCATGACAACTCCAACATGCTTTTCTCTTGGGCTCTTTTTTTTAACATTGTTTTTAACAACGCCTTTAGTCACACGTTTGAATGTTTAAAGCGTCTCAACGCATTTTTTTCTAGCATTTGGCCAGGTGTGATGTGATGTTATCCTTTTGTGATGGGGTGTACCCTAAGCACAAATTTTGACCTTATAAATATCATAAGTCGAAAGTTGGTGTAGTTAAAATGTTAAGTATTCATTGTGGTCCATTCATTGTGAATTCTGAGTGTGATTGCACAAATGACTGTGCAACAAGAATTTTCAACCTGATTTAGCTGTCAGTAAATTCATTAGTAATTACCTCTTGGATGTCTTAAGTGTTCAACGATATCTTTAATCATTAAAATTACTAGCGTAGAAATAAAGCATTGGACTGACTAACTAACAACACCTGAACCTTTCAAACACCACGTTATGTCAGCACATATCAAAACTCCATCACGAGCGTTCCTTCAGACAACTTTAATGTCTGCAAAGAATATTACAGCAGCAGAGGACAACTACTGGGTGGAAATGGCCTCCAGTACCATTTCACTGGCCAAAACATCAGCCAATACCCGTTTGCCCCATGAAAATCACCAAAAAGCCCAAACAACACATAGCTTGTACTTACATCCCACCATCATCATGGCCACAGAAAAGATCTTCTCTCCGTCTGTGGTGGGGGCAATGTTTCCAAATCCAATGGTCGTCAAACTGGTCATGGTGAAATACAGGGACGTGATGTACAGAGAATCCTTGCCAGGGCCGCCCTCCCATTCTCCAGAACCGCTGGCATTGTATTGGTAAGGCGATCCAATGCTGATAGCCAGCTGATAAAGCCAACTGTCCATCTTGATGGTGTTGGTGGCTTCATCGATAACTTCGTAGTCTCCGATGCTGTACCTGTTTGGGACAAAATCAGAATTTGAATACATTTAAGTACCTAGTTTAAGTAGTTTAAGTAAATTCAGCTAGTCTGACAACTGAACAATTAGATTGAGATTTGAATAAAATATCTTCTTCCCCATTTACTTTCAGCAGCCTTGACTAAATGAGAGATTATATTCTAAGAAAGCTGATTTCAACAAATCTGTAAATGTGCTTAAATATCACCGTCTTCTTTCAAATACATTTATATGTATCAATTTAGTTATCCTGTTGGCCATTTGCTTACTTTATGTAAGACAATGTGGTGCTCTGGTTAAAAAAATGCTGCCCAACCCAAATTTAAAGCATGCGGCAGTTCAACATTACAGGTTTAATGTGCAAATATAGTAGGCTTTAAAGAAAATGACAGACAACATAATGCAGGAAAGAACTGTTTCATTACAGAAGCAATCACAACTATGATTTAGATGAAGGGAAAACTCTTTAAAAAATATGTAAACCGTTTTTATTCCTTTCATTAATTGGGCGCATAAAATCTGACACTTTTCTTATTTGCTTACAGTAGTGAATAAACAACTTCAGTAAATATTCATTACGGTTATTGAAATCGTTAATCCTTTATCATATGACAGACTTTAGGTGTGTTTATGGACTGTTCACTTTAATCTTAATAAAAATAAACTAATGCACCTTTGGAAGTATACATTAGAAGTATTTAACTAAGTAACTTGAGTGACTTACAAGAATACAAGAAATGTACAAAAATGACCATGGACTACATTTCAGTGAGCAATACGTTAGAAAAATATTGTTGTGTTAAATGTTCATGATTATGTGAAATTAAGGAACGATTTGAAGTGGGTTTCTGTGCTTTCATGTGGGAACTGTTCCCCTAATCTTGCTATGGGGCAAATTAAATTAGCATATTACTCAATATCATGTGGAAGAAACTAAACAAAGCAGAACAGCAGTGTATGATTTTTAAAACACAGATAGGGACAAGGAAGCAATGAGCATGCATGAGTAATTAGGTGCAGTGAGGTTAGGTAAATCCCTAGAAGAGCCAGCAGCAGCCTTTAGATGTTACTACAAGGGAAGGTTTCTTCAATGACTTTTGAAATCATTTCAAACACAGTGTACCAGATGCAGGCAAGCCAGTGGGCCACCAGTCCAAACACGCAGACCAGGAGGACCAGAACAGCAGCACCATACTCCAGGTAGTGGTCCAGTTTTCTGGCCACCCGGCCCAGACGCAGCAGGCGGACCACCTTCAGAGAGCTGAACAGGCTACTGATGCCCTGAGCAGCAGTGAAAGGAGGAAGGAAAACGGAAAAAAAGAAATATTAGAAATGTAGGAAGGTATGGGGAAGGAGCGGGACGAGTACGAAAAGAGAGAAATTGGTTATTATAAGTTGCATCTATGTCAAATCTGTCTTAACAGTGTCATCACAATGGGGAAAATGAAACCCTGAAACACGTGTAGAAATGTTGAGACTGATATTTTGTTGCAACAATACTTTTACATGTAATCAAAACAGGCAGAAAATCGGAGCCGCCCACAGCAGCAATTAAAACTTTTGAAAAAGTTTGTTAGAGACCTTTTATGTGCTTACATAAGAGCTGCACAGGGGAAAATGAATTATGGAGTAAAGAAAACTCTAATTACAGTGTGCTTTTGTTGTTTTTAGTTTACCTGCAAGTTAATTGTTTCATTCAAAAAGTGCTTTATGTTCACGACTACAAAAATAACCCTACTATTAAGACTTGAACTACCCAAATTAGGATATGTGCAACAAATAAGACGCATCTTTACAACCACATCAAGTAGTAAAGATACTGAGGTGTTCCTATTCATAACAGCAAGCCCAATTTTCATTACTTTACAATATATATCATTAAGCAGCTACCATGTTTGTATTCATTTTCTTGATAGAGAAACTGGCAGATATGGTCAAGCGATTTGCAGCAAAACAAGAGAGACTATTATGTTCTAAGCCACACTTCAGCATCCATCAAAATTACAGCTAAATGACATTTTGTCATTTAGAAATAAATTGTTATGCAGCTCAAAGCTCAACGGGGGGAAAACCAGCAAAACTGAGAAAAACACAGAGAAAACATAGTTATTAGCCTCTATAATCCATCATTATCTTTCACAACACAATTAGGAACCTAAACCAGCCAAGAATTTAAATAGAGAATCACATTTAAGATTAATGATTGTAAATGTTTTTCAAAATTTGTCAGTAAAGCAGAATAATAGATGCTGGTAAACGCTTGATAAAACGATACACTGAACTGGTTCTCCAGTGTTTGACCATTTGGATTACTACATGTTACTTTTCATACACAGAAACACTAGGATCTCTATCTTTTTGTGCATCCCAAAGACAAACTATAATATTGAACTAAGGCTGGTTGAAACATATGTTTGGGATGCTTATTTCTCCATAGATTTGTTTTTTATTCTTTTTCTAAAAAGTATTTTTATTACTATTAGTTTAGTAATAAGTTACACTTAGTTACACTGACCCAAGCTTCAATGTAAAAATTATCCCAATGTTTTGTATCCTGTTTACAAGCCCTGAAAATATATTATAGCTCTGAGTATGTCTGTGGATGTTTCTCTGCTCAAAGCTTTTGTAGACTGGTTCGCTTTGACTGATCTACATACGATTTCAGTATTTAGTCATTTTTTTCATTTACTCCCTTTAATTTATTTGTTGACATGAAATGCTGCTTTAGATATCACAGGTACCTGAAATAAAATTACTTATGTTAGCACATAAAGCAATAAAGAACAACAAGCCTATGCACTAACTACACAACAACAACAACAACTTGTTGCCATCTTATTTTCTGATTGATTGACATGGGTGTTTTTTGGTGAGGGGTTGTTTTACTCGCAAGCACTTTCAGGTTGTAAGCTCTTGTCTTAGAAAATCTGTTTTTTCACCGTTTCTTCCTGCACTAAATGTGACGACAGTATTCTGAAAAAGGATGGTGCAAAATATTTATCATAGCTCTGGTTTTACTTGGCTGTCAACTGTCCAAATGGAGAGTCGGCGAGGCTACCTTAAATAGGTCATGTGATTTTGACACATTGTCGCAGGCATTGACTCCAGCGGGTTAAATCACATTTTTTGGTGTTTATAAAAAATGCTCGATGATGATGATGATGACAGTATTTATTTTTTTATTTATTTTTTTCTCTCCCCCTCATCAGTATGTGGATGAAAATACAGCAAAAATAACCGTGTTCCTAATATGAAGTATATGCAACAATCATTTTAATCTCTTAAACAGATGAAGACATGCAGTGTTGCTCAATATCTGATCCATGAAGACTTCAAGGACCAGAGATGGACTATAGACAGAGTTGAAGATGGACTCCTGGATCTGTTACAGCACTTACAAAGAGAGACTAAACCACTGCAGCCATAACACCAATGTCAAGCTTCAGTTTATGGATATGCATTGTTAGAAAAAACATCTTAAAAAAACAGTAATATTCCGGCAGCTGGGGCGCCAAAATAATACCGTAAAATAACAGAAAATAACTTACTCATAAAAATACGGTTATTTCCAGTAATGACAATACAGTTTGTTGCCCTAATTTTACATGGGATTTTGCCTTTTTCAAGTGCTTTTAAACGTTAAATTAGGAACAATTTAATGTGATTAAACAATGAACTTACCTATAAACAAGGTCAATGAATGCAGCAATATGAATAATAATAATACTTAAATGTACAGAAATATACAGTGAACAGTTGGTTTAAATAATAACGGATTGCATTCATATTGCGCTCTTTGAGACCCCTGAAAGCGCTTTACAATTCCCCGTTATAATTCCCCTCTGGCCATCACCAGTAGGTGGTAGGTGAAGTGTCTTGCCCAAGGGCACAACGACGAAGAGTGTCCAAGTCGGGGCTTGAACCGGCAACCTTCTGATTACAAGGCGAACTGCCAACTCTTGAGCCACGATCGCCCTCAAAAGCAATAATAATTATTATTATTTGATGTAAAAAAAAAGTTCGTTTTATATATTTTTCCATAGCATTACATTTGAATTTAACAGTTCAATCTTTCAAGTAACGGACAAATATTTGTGAAATTATGATGCATTTGTGAATGTATTTTAACAATCTAAATTTGCATATATACAGACAAATACATTTAAAAAAAAACAGAAAATTATGTTTTATTACATTGCAGTGATTTTACGGTAATTTACATTTGAAATGTGAAATCACAGTCTATTTATGTGAATTTAATGATATTCTAGAAGAACAGTACAAAACTGTAAAATACACAGTAAAATACTTTTATATTAGGATTTTTATTTTTACAGTGTGCTTTTAGGAAACTACTTCTCTTCTCTTCAGAGGACAGAGTGCTGTGGGTGTGCCTTCCCTACATACTGACTTCCCTAGACTCATCCAGTTCATCCAGCTAAAGGATATTTTGGCCCAGAATCTTACAGGTTCCTCAGCTTTGGTTTGATGCAGAGCAGAAACTGCTCATTTCACAGCACTGAGGAGACTACTGTGAGGTGTGCCACATCAGGATGCTGATCTGACATCATGAGTAGTGCACAGGTGTACCTCAGACTGCCCACAACAAAAGGCCACCCTGGAATGTGCAGTTTTGTCTCACAGCAAAATGCCACAGATGCCACAAGCAATGAGGGAGCGTGCAATTGGCAGGAATGTCAACCAGATCTGTCGCCCGTGCATTGAATGTTCATTTCTCAACCATAAGCCGTCTCCACAGGCGTTTCAGAGAATATGGCAGCACATCCAACCGGCCTCACAACCGCAGACCTCGTGTAACCACACCAGCCCAGGACCTCCACATCCAGCAGGTTCACCTCCAAGATCGTCTGAGACCAGCCACCCAGACAGCTGCTGGAACAATTGGTTTGCACAACCAAACAATTTCTGCACAAACTGTCAGAAACCGTCTCAGGGACGCTCAACTGCATGCCCGTCGTCCTCATCGGGGTCTTGACCTGACTCCAGCTCGTCGCCGTAACAGACTTGTGTGGGCAAATGCTCACATTCGATGGCGTCTGGCACGTTGGAGAGGTGTGCGCTTCACGGATGGATCATGGTTAACATTGTTCAGGGCAGATGGCAGCTGAGAATGTCCCAGTTCTTGCATGGCCAGCATACTCACCGGACATGTCACCCATTGAGCATGTTCGGGATGTGCTTGACCGGCGTATACGACAGCGTGTACCAGTTCCCACGAATATCCAACAACCTCGCACAGCCATTGAAGTGGAGTGGACCAACATTCCACAGGCCACAATTGACAATCTGATAGACTCCATGCGGCGATGTGTTGCACTGCATGAGGCAAATGGTGGTCACACCAGATACTGACCGGTTCTGGGTCCCCAGACCCCCAATAGCGCAAAAAACTGCACATTCCAGGGTGGCCTTTTGTTGTGGGCAGTCTGAGGTACACCTGTGCACTACTCATGATGTCAGATCAGCATCCTGATGTGGCACACCTGTGAGGTGGGATGGATTATCTCAATATAGCAGATGTGCCCACTACCACACATTTGGACTGATTTGTGACCACTGTTTGGGAGGGATGGTTATATTGTGTATCTGGAATGAATTTTAGGTCTCTACGTCCATCCCATGGGGAATGGGAGCAAAAACAAAAGTGTTGCGTTTATATTTTTGTTGAGTGTAAATACACTCAACATTTTAAAAAAAAGTTTAAATGTGAACAAACATTTTTGTGCTATATTAACATGAGATAACTTGACAAACTTGATAACTTGTTAATTTAACATGTAAAAGTTGTGCAGTTATAAAAAACATAAAGTTGACTAAACATAACTTTACTTCCTGCAACCGATGTACTGTACAGATTTTTTCATGTCAATCCAATCCAATTATTTTTTCAGTGTACTACTACATTATTAGGTCCTGATTATTCAAGACCTTTTATTTGAGGAGAAGGAAATTAAATTAAATTCTCCATTTAACAGGGAGCCAATATAGGAGAAATATTCTCTCTCTTTCTTCTCCCCATCAGCAGTCTCACTGCAGCATTTTGGATCAACTGAAGGCCTTTCAGGGCGTTTTTAGGACAGCCTGATAATAGTGAATTACAGCAGTCCAGTTTAAACATAATAAATTCACAAACTAGTTTTCAGCATCACTCTGAGACAGGATGTTTTTAATTTTAGAGACGCATGAAAGCAGTCATACATATTTCTTTAACATGTGGTAATCACACAGCCGAAAACCACTGTAACAGGCTTTTTAATGTC